TCCATGCAAGTCCCCCACATCCTCAAATGATAGCATCAAAGCCTGGAAGAGGTGGTGCGAGTGTTGAACGAGTTAATTATACAACCGACTTGTGCTCAAGCCAGCTCCCCCTAAATAAAATCTTTAACCTTTAACCCTCAGGTGAAAGCGGCAGGAAGTGTGTGCAGAAAGTCTGCCAGTGGCTGCGACCTGCCAGAGTACTGCACCGGCGTGTCGGAGGACTGTCCTGAAGACAGCTTCGAGATGAACGGCAAACCGTGCTACGACCAGGCGCAGGGCTACTGCTACAACGGCCGCTGCCCCACACATGAGCAGCAGTGCTGGAGGCTGTTTGGACCAGGTACTGCTGTCAGTGTGGTCGCTGGAGAGAAAGCAAGAAACAAGACAGTGACTGTGTGCGCCAGGGCTTTTCTTTTCTTTTCAATAGACAAGCTGAGCCTCAAGGAGCTTTGGTTTTTAGTCTATTTCTAGTAGCTTCAGTAAATTTCAGTGTCACATGGTGGAAATGGCTCTTTCTAAGAATAATTGGTTGGAAAAGTTTAATGAATAGCACTTTCACAGGAAATAGGAGAGTCTCTGTGTATTTAAAAATCAACATTAATTTCTAGCGTGTCCAATTTTAATGATATCCTAACATCATCCCATGTGCCTGAACATCCAATTTCCCCCTGTCTAAGTAGATTTAATGTTGTGTAAGTGTTCAGAGAACCAGGGCAGCCCTGAATTCATTCACTATCTCAAAATTATGACTTAATATCACATATATTCAACTGATCTGGGCAGTCAATGTTGACTTATTAACTCAGCATTTTTATTTTTATCATTCTTTGGGTTTTCTCTTCCTGCCACAAATTTGCTTCTATATTAACTTTGTCATTATAAACTCACTCTGTGCAGCCGGAAATAGTTAAAAACCCACAAAACTTTGTTTTAGATTCTATTAATATAATTCTGTGATTATTCAATTTTGATTAAAAAGCCATACCAACACTGAAAAACAGCCCTTTTGGAAACAAGCCAAATATTCTTCAATATAGTCAAATCTTCTTGTATTGAGCAAAGAAATCTGCCAGTGGGGTAAAACAATTGTTCTTGGTTAGAATTCCTAAAACTAGCATAACAACCAGCCACTGACAGACCATAATAGGTCTTAAAACCAAGAAAAATGCAAAAAATTTAAGCAAGTTGTGTTTATTACAAGCAATCATAATTCAGTTATTTAAGGTTCTTAAAATAAGTATTTTGTTCACTTTGTTGGGCTGAATTTAAGAATCTAAAAATCTTACACTAAGACTTATTTTAACATAATAAAAATCAGTCAATTTATCTTAAATTAAAACACCAAAAACATTCTTATTTTTAACATTTCTTATGAAAACAATGAAAAACTAAACAGCTGGTTCATTTCCAACACCGGGACAGACGACTTTCTCTGAAACTAAGAAGTTGTGCAAGTGCTCTTACTCTGAAAATGATGAAACTACTCTTTTTCCTCTGCTGGGATATTATGCAACCATTGTTGTT